ACTCATAATTCAAGACAAATGAAATGCAAAATATAGAGAATATAGCGAATTAACCGTAATACTTGTATAATTGTGAAAATTATCTTTGGTGTGCATATCGAATACAATTCTTAATATATTCCGGATTTTCTTGTAAAACTCAGTTGTTTTTTCCAAACAAATGAAGGATTTCATAATTTCGGAAGTTGAAAGTCTTTATCGTAGTGTTAAATCATTTCAATTTTCTCCATGAAGAACGAACACGGCTGATCATTACACCCTTGACGTACACCCTTGTCACCAATGAAGAATAACCTGATTTCCCCAACCACAACACATAGTAACACTTAGTATCACTATATAAACCACTCAATATCACAACTTTGGATCCCAGCTGACAAAGTGAATACATGATTGGTAGTGTAGTAACACTCAATGAAACCAGAAGACCACTAAAAACGTTTACTGATACACTGTGAAACTTACTATGTTGATGTTAATAAGTTTGACTGTTATTTCATTATCCTCTTTTAATAAACCCATATTGATTAGCTTGCTTCCAATACCAAACATAGAGCATAATGTATTCAAAAAATAATATCATATTTATTTTTCTTCAGATTATATTTGAAATAGTTCGCGTAATTACCTAATAGTTTTGATGTATCTATGAATCGAAATATATACACAAATTATACTGCTACAAACCACGCACGATGAATGTACATTTACTCCCACACGAACATTCCAGCTGAATGATTGACTGATTGACTGATTACATAATCGCTTTACGAAAAGCATTCTGCCCCAAGGACCCAAGCTGCACATAGGATGACATCCGCTGCTGAAATTATAATTTTACATTTTGCGTGGTGCATTTGTCAAATGTCAATTGACTACGATAATCTCAGTTGCGCGTGCTATCCCCACATTTCTCTCATTCAACGTCCTTGAATTCTACAAACATATGTTCCTCAGAAGAATTACATGTATCTTCTTGTATCAACAACTTGTTCTAATGTGCTGACATGGTCCTCCCTGTCATGCAAGTGAATGCTATTTAAATAGCCGTGTTGAATTGGCAATGCATGTATGGAACTGAATTCCTTTAATACTTGCAGGCTAATGATGTTATCTTCAGTTAGACAGGATTGCGTAGAGCGAATTATCATTTGCCTTTCCTTCCCTTCGTGGTAGAATAAATGAAATATTAGATAAAAATGACGTCATTCGTGGTGTACGATTGTATGTAGAACACGCCACTCTTAACAATTTAGTTAATTTGTAAATTCACTGTCAGCAGCTTATTATTGCGTGACTATATGATGTGTGTCAAGGTGCGACGGACGAACATGACAGACGTTATAATGCCGAGATGGCAGGACAATTATTAAACTTATTAAAATAATTATTATATGTTATTGTTGTATGTTTTCTCATAAAGGATTATGTCGCATGCGAACAACAAAAAAAATACTACCGCAGTGATTTCGTTTTGAAAATTACTAAATTGTCCGCAGGCATCAATACCCCGGATATCTCTGTGTTCGCACGACATCTCTTGCTAACTTTACAATTGATGTTGCGAAATATAACAAATGATTGGGTCATGCAGCATCTAACCGCCCTCTTGAACATTCCTACACTTGATGCACATATACAACACAGTTACTAATGTAAAACGTGTCTCAAATTAACATCTAAACATTATAGGAATGCTCGTCCCAGTAGACACACGGATATATGTATTTGGCGACGTGGCGAGTACTTTTGTCAATCACACCGCTGAATGAATAAATCAATCTATATGACGATCACGTAATCATCGTGGATTGAAAGCGGATGTTACTTTAGAACTTTAACTGGCACATTTAAAAGACGTCGGGTGTTTCGTAATAGCAATAGTTTTCGTTTTATCTCACCTCCAAAATTCAGATTTACCCAATAAAACGTTGCCTATAATTTGTCAAACGGATATTTTTCTAAGATTGTTAACATCTCTATCAGTTCAGAAAGTCATCAATAATTAATATGTGTTTTGATTATAATCAATCTGATTAAAATCTGATGTAGTGTACGGGCTTTAATTATTTTGGCTATAAACTTATTTTAATTTTATGTTTTATTACTTTTGTTATTAATGCCTTGTTATTTTATTATTTTACTTTGATTTTGTGATTTTTTTTAAATTCCGCCCTACCTACATCTGAGCCGATCCCTATGTAACGAGATTTCAATGAGACCCACTGTCGACGATTTTAGTCAACGAATCACAGGCCTTCTTCTATAGCGCACATGATGACGTCACTGGGCAGAGTCAGGTGGCAAACACACTCAAATAAAATGGCGGATTATACCGACGTTAGCGACCGAGAAGAACACGACTTTTCGGTAAGTTTATCATTGTCAAATGCAACGAAAGTCATTTTTTTTATGTTTATATTGTGGCTCGAATGGTTCGAGTTTAGATCGTTATTTTGCGTAGTTATTCTGGGAGTGACGATTTTGTTTCCACCGGTTCGACCGAACACCGGTGTCTTTTTCCAGTCGCTTGCCCTGAGACGGGTGATGTTTTGTTGACGATCGGGTCAAAACCGTCTACGGTATTGAAGCCGTAGCT